ATCAAAATTTCCGGTAGTTAGTTTGAAATTTTCTGTACGTTTTTTTGCGCATATGTCAAAGTGTACGTGTATATACCAGAAATTTGAAAAATTCTGGTAAATATCCTGGAAATTTGGAAAAATTTGGTATCTTATACTAGATATCGTCAAAATTTTCGGTAATTTAAATAAACATTTCGTTAGAATATCGAAAATTATTGAAATTTCCGATAGCCAACAAAAACTTCTGGAAATTTGAAAATTTCCGGTATACCGGAAATTTGACCTGTATTTGAAATTTCCAGTATACCAAAAATTTGACCTGTATTTGAAATTATTGGTAACAGACCAGTAATTAGAAAAAATGCTTTCTTTATTCGGTCTGGAGCCGACAAGGTCATCTACGAATTCATGTAGCGATTGTACGCAGTTTTTCACCATAGACAAAGTATATTTTCTGTGTAACAAATTTAAATTTAATATTTTTGGCCCTTATATGATATTAATAGTATACTTTTTATGTGATATAAACGACATATATATTTGTGCCCTTATATGATATTAATAGTATACTTTTTATGTGATATAAACGACAGATATATTTGTGCCCTTATATGATATTGATGTTATACTTTATAATTGTGGTTGTTCGTTCTGATACTGCAAATGGTCAACGTGGTAGGAAAGATAGATTGATTATGGGTTGTGAGAGAGGAAGAAATTATAAAAATAAAAATACATTTGAAAGCAGTAAATCTTCAGAGAGAATTTATAGTATGAAAGTGAGATGTCCTTTTAGGTTGAGACTTGCATCGAGTGGTATTGATTGGAAGGTGATGGTTTGATGTGGATTTCACAATCATAAACTATCTGGAGATTTAGATGGTCGTGACATATTGGATCATCTAAAAGATCATGAGAGATAGTTTGTGAATGACATGACAAAGTACAACATGCCTCCACGATACATAGTTTCTGCCTTGAAAGATAAAGATCCAGAAAACCTCACAAGTGTCACCCAAGAGAGGTACATTGACGGGAATGCAAATGTTGTTGACTCTTATTCATAGAGAAAAATATATGTCCTGGACAAGAAATAGAGAAGACTCAAATGTTATTGTGATATCTTATGGACACATCCTGATCCGGTGAAGTTGTTGAATATGTTTCACTTGGTGTTGATTTTTTATTGTACATACAAGACAAATAGGTAATATTCATCTTTATCATATCTTGATATCATTTTGACATACTTTGATTTATCATTTTTTTTTATTATTTTAATCGTGAACATACAGGTATCGGTTACCAATGCTTGAGATTGTTGGCGTTACATCAACAAAGTTGACGTTTTCAGTAGGGTTTGTCTATTTAGAAAATGAAAGGGAGGAGAAATTCACATGGGTACTGGAGAAGCTCAAAGAGTTGTTCTCTTCTGAGAAATTACTATTGAATATTGTTGTGACGGATCGAGAACTCACGTTGATGAATGCAATTGAGGTTGTGTTTCCAAATTCAACACATTTGTTATGTTCGTTCTATATTACAAAAAACGTTAGCATGAAATTTAAGGAGTATGTTACATCAGAAAGACATGAACATGTCATGGATCTATGGAACAACATCATGTATGCTAATAGAGAAACTGGGTTTGTCGAATACTTGAAGCGCTTTGAGACTGTTTGTGCTGATATTTTTTTATTTGTTAAGTAAGTGAGTGAAACATGATTGACACCTTATAAAGAAAAGTTTGTTGTTGTGTGGACTAACATAGTCACTCATTTAGGGAACACAACAACAAACAAGTACACAGACGTTATTTTAATGTCATTACATTACTAAACATAATTTAATACATTTCTATTTATGGATTTTAAGGTGGGGTCTGTTCATTGGATACTAAAAAATATGTTGATTACAAGACAGGGAGATTTATGTCGAAGTTAGAATGTTGTGAACACCGTGTTAAAGTTGCATCTAGGTTCAATCAGAGTCTCGTTTCAAAAAAGTATTGTCAACATTAAGCATCGGTATAACACATCATTTTATGCTAACTTACACGGCTTTGTTTCGAGATAGTGTATACAACATGTTGGAAAAGAGCTAGGAATGGTAAAATTTGTTGGTGCAAGCCAAAATGTGTGTGGTTGCTTCATTGAAAATAGTTTGATTTAAGTTTTGAAAAAAAGTATATTAATGATTGATTATGGATTCTGGATTGATTCTAATAAATGACATTTTGATTGGATTACTTCAGTGTATGATTTAATTGAAACAAGTTTGTGTTGATAGTGAACAACATATGGGTTATCATGTGTGTATCAACTTGCTGGTTTCCAAATACAAGGCAATCATGTTCTTTTAGAACCAATTCATGTTTTTGAAAGAAATTATACATTGAAGAGCATGATGTCAGACATGAAGAAAGTGGTACACAATTGGATTTATAAGTAGAGTGTAAGAGTTGAAGACATATTTCAGTACTTTGGATATTGTAGTTAGAGCTTGTTGAAGAAAAAGGTTCGGGAACTAAAACATTCATCCACAACTTCTATGTACCCACCGCCGGTGAAGTACAACCTAAAGAGAGGAGTTAAGAAGAGCAGAAAAGGTAAAGAGAGTGATGTGCGTCGTGATCCTTCTGGTGAGGCACATATGTCGGCTACAAAGAGATCATGCACAAATCTAACTAGAAGTCAACTGTCACATATGTCGGCTAGAAGTCAATCGTCCACCACATCTTAGAGAGATGTTTACTTGTCTCAATTCCCCGATTTCTTACATCCATACATTGATAAGATTGTTGATATGGGTGCCAATGGAAATTGAGGTTTTTGGGCTATTGCAACTTTACTTGGATGGAGAGAAGAGTCATGGCCTTTGATTCAAACGCAATTAAATACTCGAGTTCATCAACACTCTCAATTGTTTTCCAATTTATTTTATGACACGGTCTCTACAAAAAGACTTAACTTCACATTTTTCCCTCTTGCATTAACTCTGCCTATATATACGAGCAGACATAAAATCATTATTGTTGGTTTTATCAACAACAATCATTAGGTTCAGACAAAATTGAAACTTGATTCTCCATTCTCCCGTCACTGATCGTTAGAGACAGTATTGTACTAAAGACGCAAAAGCATAAGAATCAACATATGCAAGACACATTAGACATTGAAAAGATGAAGTTAAGAAGTCATCCTTACTTATTTTGTATTCTTATATATAGCACAATATTATATCTATATATTTTATCGAGAAATTTTTTTTATTGAATCAATTATTCTAAAAAAATTAATGCAAAAAAAAATGAACAATTTCCACTTACTAGATACCGGTAATTTTACAATTTCCAAAATTGTGGCAAATACCATAAATTTAATAAATTCAAAACTTTGTAATAAATATCAGAAATTACACAATTTTTAATAAAAGAGCAAATGTCTTCCCCGAAAATTGAATTTTTTTTTAAAGTAGCAATGTTATATAATTTAATTACCAAATAAAACAAGCTTTCAAAAAAATTACCAAAATGACAAACTTTGAAACTCATCCAGCAAGCAAATGGTTTGGCGAATTAGTTAAAATGTTGTTTCAAGGCATTAGCCAAATGGAATGGCGAATTAGGCCATTTGAAAATTGGTCAATGTGTTGTCGCCACATGAATTGGCTAATGTGGCTAATTTTTAGGGTTTCCAATTTTTTTTCGTTTCTAACTTTTTATACTCGTAAACATGATTTTATTTTATTTTATTGAAAACATTGTTTAATAAAAGCATCTTAATTATTTTCTACATTATAACCATTATATTAACTTGCGAGTGTAGTTTTAGGTATTGTAACGCAATATTCAACTTTTTGAAGGGGATAAAGAAGTTACCTCCTTAACTTAATAGTTTCATATTTATATATCAAATTAAAAATTACATATTTTACCTGTTTTACGTAAAATAACTAATAAGTTAGTATATTACTTGAGGTGATAAATTGTTTTTGGGTGGAGTAAATTGTTTACCTGGAAATTTTTTTATACTGTAAATCAATATGGCAGAATAATTTATTCTTTAATGGTTTATTTTATTTTTCAAATTTTAAAAAAAGACTAATATATATATATATAAACAAAAAAAATTAGAAATCCTAAAAATTAGTAACATTCGCTTGGGACAACACATTGACCAATTCCCAAATAGCCTAATTCGTCATTCCATTTGACGAATGCCTTGAAACTACATTTAAACTAATTCGTTTGTCATTTTGGTAATTTTTTTGAAAACTTATTTTATTTGGTAATTAAATTATATAACATTGCTACTTTAAAAAAAATTCCCGAAAATTCCGTAAGTTATAATTAAAGGCCAAACATATTTTAAAAATTCTGGTATTTTATAAAAATGATACCGGTAAAATTACTCTAAATATTGAGATGTCATGTTAAATGCTCCAATGGTAGCAATACACTATCAAATTCTTTTATTGGCCCAATAGGCTAAAAGATGAAAAAGAAATTCTTCATATGCCGGTCGAATAGCGGACAAGGCCGGAAAATTGGAAATGTAATCTACAAATAAAGTGATCATAGGCCATTAAAACAAACTTAAAAAAAAAAAAAAAAAAAAAAAAAACCATCTAAATTTCTTGTTGCTTGTATAGCAAGCATACTCAATGAAGTCTATTTAATTTAATTCGACTCAAGGCTAATCACTTAGCAAAAATGTCCTTGATTTACACGGAAAATTGGTATAAGCAACAAAACTTCAATGTCACTACCTGCACCCATCCAAAATACATTATTCCATTACGGCGAGCCTTGGAATTTTCCAATTTCACAGGTGCAATGGAGGAGAACCCAGCTCTACAATCTCTGCACAAGGGCCACTCATCCGATCTAGGGAATTGATGTTTTTTTCATATACTGCATTATGTATTATATATACTGAATTATATCAGTGAGCTCTATCAGTGATGCAAAGTAAAAGTGGTTTTGTAGCAACATATTTCAACTTACATATAAGATGTCAGAAGGGAGCTTCTAGTGATTCATCCCAAACTTCTGCACTTCCATTAGAAACATCCTCTACATCTTCTTCCATTGAAAGCCTAATATATTCTCTGTGAGCAAAGCGATCCCACTCTGTCAACGTAGGATTCTCACGTTCCTGTTCGTTCACACATGACATACACCGCCAAAGTGGTCAAAACTAATCAACCATGATTACTTGATAATATATAAACTTTTATAGAACAATCATGTACCTGGCGAATCAAAAATGGGTCCCGAGTTTCAAAGGCCATGAACTTATTTAGATTGAATAGGATATTGAAAATGCTTCCAGAGAGTTTACCACCTTTCAGGTCACGCGGAGTGATATAGCTTTCATTCTGCAGAATGAAAATTTTTAATTTTAAATTCAGGAAAAAAGTGAAGAACCGAAAATGCAAATTGAAATATGTCATCTTCCATGAAAAAAACTTTAACTGCCCAGTAAAATTGCATCATTTTCCACCTAATGTGAATTCCTAACGACATAATGAAACATGACCAAATAATCGATAAAAGGAAGATTGAAAAACAAACCTCACATTTAACCATGTCAATTATTTGACACAGTATGTCTTCAAAAAGAACAGGTTCTTGAGCCATGCACTCCATTCGATGCAGTTGCTCCTCGTAGAAAAATTGCAGTTCATTCCTTGTTAGAACTCCATTTCCATCCAAATCAACACACTTAAACCTAATCATGACGAGTCAGAGTTAAAGTCAACAGCGAGTAAGCATCAACTGGGTAAATTTTCTGATGTTTCCCTAAGGGACGTGAGATTCGACACAGAGGACCGTGTTTCTCCAAGAGTTTGGAACTGTTTTTAATGCAAAACAGTTATTTAAAGAACAAAACATGTTTGGTAGATTGCTTTACTATGCAAATATGATGAAAGTTCTTTTCCCTTTTTGGTTTTTCTACTATAAGTAGTTGAAAACAAGGAAACAATTCAAGAAAACTGTCTTCAATAACTGCAATAACATACAAAATGTTATTGCTCCTTTATTTTCTTTCAAAAACTGTTATAGAATAAAATAATCCAAAACAATTAAAATATGTTACATACAAGCCTAAAATAATGCACCATTCAAGTATAAGCAAATTCATAGAAACTAATCCGGTGGCATCTTAACGGAGGGAACAAACTGACAAATGAATCAGAAAAATGAATGGTAAACAAAATACCAATACTCAAGACTTGGCTCAGATGTTTTGTCCTCTTCTGATAGTATGAAATAAACAAAATCTTCATATCCCATCTTTCCCTCAACTTTACTAGTAAACTTTCTTGGAACCTGATAATAGATCCAAATATAGTCATCAACAAATGATCTAATAAATTATATAAAAAAGTGGACAGAACATATATGTCTAAGGAGGTGCAGGGTCAAGGGTTTGGATTGTATCTAGCTGAAGACAGTTGTGATCACATCGTAAGACAAAAGCAACATATAATATTGTGATCTGCACCAACCTGAGAAAATATTCTATCGACAATCCGATAGGTAAGTGCATGGTTGCCATATCTGATAAGATTCTCTTTGTCTATCAAGAAATCATGATCTGTATCCAGCTCCCAAAACTTGCAGTATATAACATAAAAGTGTTCATAAGAGAAGTATCTGCAGATAAAATTATGCAAAAACTATTACTGCATTCCCATGTAAGTATATTTAATTCATTTAAAAAAAGAAACAAAGCTCATTTATTGAAGTACATGGTAATGACATTTTCAAACGGTATATCTACCTCAAAACTTTGTTGATGTCTTCTTCTTCATCGGCATGCTGCATTGCATCAATTATATTTCCGCGCTTCAGCTCCCTCAGGGTAAGACGACCATTTCCTGATCTATTGATGAAGTAATATATTCTATATATCACGGTTTCAGCTGGGTCATTGGAAAAGCAAATACATGAGAGCATGCCACCACTGACAAAGAGGTAAGACTGGTATTGAGTGTGAAAAGCGTAAAGATGATTAACAAATGGTGTTAACAGAAAACGGGTTGGATAATATTGTTGTCGACAAAATTGTATAAAAAAACCATACACAAATAATACTCTCAAAATTTGGGTTGAGCCTAACTCGTCCCTACAAAACCGGCTTGTAAGGTGAGGATTGCTCCGACCTATAAACATAACACACAATGAAGGTGTTCGCCCGGGCCTCAATGAAGCCGGAGCGTGGACGATGTGGGAAGAGCCCAACAAGTGATCTAGGATAGGCTTTGATACCATCTCAAGGAATGTGGTTTAGCTTAACACAACCCTACAAAACTGACTTGTAGGGGAGGGTTGCCCAAGCTTTATAAACAACACAACACAAGCTGATAGAAGCAAGAAAATCAATAAAAGAAACTGTATATTATTGACTGGAAATTGGTGAGCTCAAGGCTCTACAATGGTGAAAATGGCACAAGAAAAAGTAAACCAGAGTTCTATGAACTCCTAAACCAGAGCTAGGCTCCTAGACCAGAGAAAATTCTCTCAACTGTATTCTAACAAACTTTATGAGTGCCTAATCATTTGCCTCCCCTTTCTTTTATAACAGAAAATCCCTTAAAATCAGGGAATACTCTAACTGAATATTATTCTTACAGCTTCTAGAAGCTGTTCTGATGTGGATTGACCATTTGACCTCAATGATTGGGTCATCACACATATAAGAAGAACTCAGTATCCCATCACAAGGCATATCTATAAGCAATGTGAGACTAAATCTACCCCTTCAAACCCAACACAATGAAGGTATTCGAGGCTGCAATGAAGGCAAGCCAAATGCCACAATTAGGCGACTAGGGGCAGACTGCAATGAAGGCGGAAATTCGAACCGATATGAAGTCAAAAAACATTAGTAAGGTCAAGTTAAGAAAAGAGATAAGCCGGTGAACCAAGCATAGCAAAGAACTCATATAGGGCAGGGAATGTCTAACTCATAAAGGCACAGTTATAAGCAAGATGGAAGACAAACCATATCTCTCTTGAAACTCAGGTGTGCTCTGCAGGAACTCCAGCCCAGGATGAGTTGCCAAAAGCTCACGTAGTATAGGTTTAAAATCATCCTGATATGAAGTATAATATAGTTCTCAAAAAGGACTGATGGGATTATAATATTAAAGCCAAAAAAATTAATAAATTTGACCCTAAAAAAGTAAGTCATTTAGTATCAAGTGGGAATTGAACAAATGACATGTTTGATACATTTCATTAGGTCATAACTCATGACAGGGTGTAATGTTCAAGGGAGGAGAAATATATGAAATTAAAAGCAGAAAAGGAAAAAGAAATATAAGCAACAAACCTGAGTAAGGTAATTGAACTGTGGTTGCTTCAAAATTGTGTATATTTGGGTCGCTATATCCATTGTCAGCATGTTGCCATTGATCCAATAATCAATGAATGCTTCCCTGCAGGAATATTACATCAAAGAATAAAGCATACATAATAAGAAATAATAACTACAGCAAACAAATCATTAAACTGTAATTATTGTAGTATGGGAAAGGAAGAGTTAAACAAGTTGTGTTTACAAAAATGGAACGGGAAAATTTTGCAGGACGGAGGTAGTAACGGTTTCCTTTTCTCTTTAATGCCCTTTTCATTATTAAATGATATAGTTTCCTTTACTAAACTTCCAAGATGTCAAATGAGGATCTTTTCCAGAGTGCCGAATTCAATATTTACAAAATTATGAATTCTTAAATGTTTTGCCGCTAAAGATTCAATATTAAATTTAAGATGTGAAGTATTCCAGAGTCACACGCCCATATAACTTCAACATGAATATGTGTATTTTCAAGCAATTTCTAAATAAGGGATAACAGCGTAATATAGTCCTAAAAGCACTTTTCCTTACTGAATAATCAGTAGTACTATTTAGTAATAGTCTTAACACACAACAATTGTTATGGCATTACAGGCTGTCAGCATCTAGAGATAACCAGTGTTATTACATAGCGGATTATAACAACGTGGAATTTGAACAAATCGCCTTTGTTCCACAATAAGCTATTTAGTACAACATTTTGTCAAATAGTGACTGCCAAGGCACTGATGTGTAGCGGAATTTGAAAAAACCGCTATTTTCTGCAACCCTCAGATGACAACACTGGAGATGGAGACATCAACATATTAACCATTCAAACAGCTAAATCCGAGAACTACCATTCATGTTCATGGAACAGAGAAATATGCAAGTTTGTTAGAAAAATTTAAAGTACAAACAAACCTTGTCACAATGCCAGCTCCATTTTCGATCTTTCTGTAAAGAGATGTGGAAAGAAAAGATGGTAGCTTGCATATTTCCTTGGTAACCGACTTGAATTCTGGCATACCATAGAAAAACGAAAAAATCAGAACTGAGCTATTATAAACTCTTTTGTATGCTACAGAGAGAACATTAGACATATAATCATTTTGTCTCTTGGAAACATTAAAAATAAGTTAATTTTAGTCAAAATCAGAAGGGCAACGATTGCTTAAACAACTAGAGTGTGCTGCTAATTGGAAACTTTTTTCCCAAGTTGTCAACTGGCCTTTCAGGCTAGATAACCCATTTATGAGCAATATCTCACCATGTATCTGCAGCCCGTGATCGGAGAATAAATGGTCAACTCTAAGCAAGCATTGTTCTTTCAGCTCATTGGGCGGAGGCCGCCCATTTTGAAAGTAGAACTGCAAGCACAAAACTACTTGTTACAAGCATGAACATATAATGTAAACAGAATTAGAGAGGCAGAGAACCAGAAAAAGAAGAAAGAATGCACACAATCTTAGCCGACAAGGAACACAATAAAACTATCACCGAGAAAAGACTCAAAGAAAACTCTATTGCAGTATGTTATGGGATTAATATGAAATTTTGTTGTGAATTCATACATTTTTTATGAGTAATGGATGTGTCCTATTTAGTAAGCATATCATATTCTTATCCTCCTTTTACATATAGTTATAGTGAGTTATTCTTTACTATCATGTAAAACATCAAGCAAATGTATCTGATGAGCCTCACCTGAGGTATAACTTCTTTAACAGGCTCGCTAACAACTTTAAAAGAAGAACCCAGATTAGAAAGGCCAACTCTATGTTTCACTATGCGAGGGGAGCCAGATGAACTTCTCGGTGAAAGAGGTGGTGCACTGCCAGCGGGAAACATAGAAGGCAAAGAATTGCCAGAAGCATTTGGACTTGAGCAATTACCCGGAACATTTAAGGGAACTCCAGACTTTACATCATTTAGCAATGATGTTGCCTACACAAAAGAGTCAATTAGAGACAAAATAAAAAATGCACGCATCATATCTCTAGAGAGCTCAACAAAAGAAAATATTAACGGTATAAGGAAACTCATCAATAAAAAATAAAAAAGCATCTACTTGATAACCAATATCTCATTCACCCGCTTTAAGTATCATCAATAGATCATTCATAGGGTTTGAAAGAATATTCAATACATCATTCATAGGGCTTGCGAGAGTAGGCAACAGGAATCTAATACTCCATCCGTTTCAAAATGATTGTCGCAAATAAAATTTATTTCAAAATGATTGTTATTCTCACTTTTCAATATAAAAATCAATATAGAAATGATTGCTACTTTTCCAATTATGTACTTTAATTATTACTCCTTACACTATTTCCAACTTTAGTAAAAGTGTAACATCTTAGAACAATATTATTGCAATTAATCAGTATACAAAAACCTTAAACGATCAGTGATTTTGACGGAGATAGTAGAGTCCTTCAAGAACAAGAATAGGTTGTGGTGAGCCTAGAGAATAGAGGATATCTAGGGAATTAATTGCATTCTAACTTGTCATGAGTTAGATGCACGGAATCCAATGATGATGACATAATAACATAAACAATAATGAACATCTCACACAAATCTTGTGGATTTTACTATTGCTATTAACTTAAGGGTAATGATTATTAATTATCAATTCATTATTATCCAATTAACTGTTTCTTTGAATGAATACATAAGCAATTAGAATCACCAATATGAAAATGAACGAGCAATAGCGAAATGAGATGATTTCAGAATAGAGAAACGAATCACATACCAAGCGATTGGTTTCAGGAAGGGAAAGCCACTGGTGATAGAGTGTTTCAACGAAGGTGAAATTAGACTTGAGTCCCATAGTAGACACCTCTGGTATCTGCAACAATTCAACCTCCAATGATGCCACATCGCTAACAACCTCCATTATCATCAAAAACCAAATGTATCTCTGATGAACGAATCAAATCAAACAAATATCAAATTGCAGATTAGGTTTTTCAATGCGTTTGCACAGAAACCGCGTGCAGATTAGATTCTATGTCGGAATGGAATAAATGCTTATTACAGCTGTGGATTCAGCGGAACCCTAGATTTTTTTAATCGACAAATTTAAGATCAAATCTGAATTTAGATCGGTAAAAAATGAAGCAGCGACGACGACGACGATGATGATATGAAGAGAAATTAGGGGTGCAGAAAGAAATGGGAATGGATGAGTTGAGGAGAATTTTTGCAGAGATCCACACGATTTTGGAGGGAGAAAAACAAACAATAGTGGATACACTGAAAAAATACTGAATTTTTTTTTACTTTACTTATGTTTATTTTTTATTTTGACCAAATGTGTATTTTAATGAAGAAATGGGAATGGATGTGTATTTTATTTTGACCAAATATGTATTTATTTATTTTGACCAAACTTGTGTATTTTAATGAAAAAAAATTGTTTGGTCAAGCAAAAAATTATTATTTTAAAATGTATATATTTGATTTATTTTAATTTTTAAAAAATCCAACATTTTTAATATTTGTAAGTTTACTTTCCCCCAAAATGTTCTGTCCGTCTTAAATATATTATATTTTGATCATTTAAAAATACTATAATTTTTTAAAACAATTTATTCTTTAGTTTTTATTATATGTTATCTTTTTTAATATATATTATATTATGAGTTTTTTGAGGATACAAATGAATCACTAATTTTGTTGGTCATATTTATAAGAAAAAATGAATCACTAATTTTGTTGGTCATATTTATAAGAAAAAATCTACATAAATTCGTAGAATCATTAATATAATAAATTAAATAAATTGATTATTTAATAAATTTGAATATTCAATTTTCTTTTATAAATTGAATTAGAAGTATTATTTATTTTATTATATAAATTTTTAAATTACTTATAAAATATATTTTATATAATATTTATAATTTTAACTTTATATAAAATTAATTATATTTTTTAATGTTTATAAAAAAGTCAAAATAAAATTTATTTAAAAAGTGGAGAAAGTATAAATTATGACAGGGACACGTGCTTACGTAAAGTTATCTTGCTCACTTCTTCGATAATCAATTATTGCACATTTAGTCAACTATATTTTCATGTTCCAATCACATGTGATTTTAATTTTTTATTTTCATTTTGGTGGATTGGTATTAGGCAAGATCGGTCCAACCCGTTCTAAGACAAAATTTAATTTAAAATATTTTTATAAATAATATTTAATTAAAAATAAAAATTTTAAATAAATAATTTTTAAAGTTTTTTTATAATTAATGTTAATTTTGATATGTATAGAGAATTTAAAACTAACACTATTGATTATTGAATTGAAAAATAGTTTTAAAATGGTAAAATTAAGATATTTTAAAAATTAATATTTAATTAAAAATTAAATAAAATTTTTTAATTAATAATTTTTATAACTTTTTTTACACACAATTAAAATTTTAAAACGTGTCATTGATTATTAAATTGCAAATATTATTTTATTTTAAAATTGTAAAACAAAGATGGTAAGAATTAAACATAAATATTATTTTTATATCATAGAAGAATAAAGCTTTGTCGTTTGACACATTCTATTGCAATTTGTTTTGAAAAGTATATTAATTATATGTAATCTTAGACCTACTTTTGCAACATTTTAATCCTATTTTAAAGTTAAAAAAGATGAGATCTAAAACTAAGCATGGGCCAACCTTGTTATTAGGTAGTCAATTAATATGGGCTATTTGAATTAAATAAGTATCATTTGTATAACTTTTCATTTAGAATTTAATTTTAGATAACAATATTTACTTATATTATATATTAATCTAATTAAATTGTTGATATATTTTTAATAAAGTATCATTGCATACAATTAATTATACATAAAATTAAAATTATGACGAGGATAAATGCCTATTTATTTGGAATATAAATATATGCTATTATTCATATCTAGAGTATGTTTGATAAGAAAGAAAAAAAAAGAGTTTTTAGCTTATAATTTTTAGCTTTTCATCTCATTTTAATTAAAAAATTATATTTGATAACAGCCTTTTAGCTTTTAACTTATGGCTTTTTAATTAGCTTTTAACTTATGGCTTTTTAATTAGTTTTTAAATTTTTTTTAAAAAGCTATTTGAAGTACCTTTTGAGCTTATAGATTTTAATTTGTAGTTTTTAGTTTATGACTTTTTATTTCAATTTTATCTTTATTATTATTATTATTATTATACATATATATATATATATATATATATATATATATATATATATATATATATATATATATATATATATATATATATATATATATATATATATATATATATATATATATATATATATATATATATTACTATTAAAAAATTAATTTTAAAAGAATAAATTTAGGGAGACTTTCAAGAATGTTATTGAAATTTTTTACTATTTTTCTCTATTTTATTAGACATTATTTTTATTTATTAAATATAAATTATATAAATAATTTTAAAATAGTATTTATAACTCTCAAGTTAAGAGAATCAATGAAATCAATAAAGTTGAAGAAAATTCATAATATTATTATGGTTTTATTGTAAAATATTAGACAATAAATTTACTTTTATTATAATTTTAGATTAATATAACTAAATTTATAATTACAATATTTTTGTTTCACGTATTTTATTAAATTTCATTATAAAATTAGAAGAAGAAAATATATATTTTACGAAAAAATGAGTTAATCAGATCAAGAATTGTAGTTATTAAGATTACTTTTACTTTTATGTCCTCATAAATGACTTTATGAAATATCCATGATTCATGTATGGTTTACTGGTTCTTTTATTCATTGAATTTCGTTGTCAATATATTCATATTAAATAGTACAGCAATAAAACTTATATACAAATTTATATTTTGATGATATCTTCAATTTCTCATATATATTAAAATTGTATTGCATGTTGTTATTAATACATTTATTTTATCGAATAAAATTCAATTTAATAATATAATATGATAAAATAATAAAATCACACATTTCTTAATTAAAAGTATCCTTTTAAGTCATTTTGTAATTATTAGATAGTGTAACAGTTAATTTACCAAACACTCAAATTAACTTATCAGTTACCGGTTACCAGTTATCGGCTATAAGCTATAATAAGATAATGAAATCACAAATTTTTTAATTAAAAATATCCTTTTAGGTCATTTTGTAATTATTAGATAGTGTAACTGCTAATTTACCAAACACTCAAATTAACTTATCGGTTATCAGTTATCAACTATAAGTTATAAGCTATCAGTTGTACGTTATAAGCTATCAGCTATTAGTTTTAAGCTAGTTTTACCAAGTAGAGCTGTAGTTTTAATTTTTTTCATTGATAGAATATCATTGTGAGCGATTAAATTTAGAATTTAATTGATATATATTGACACTATAAAAAAATTATATTGTCAATCAATCATCATTATGTATTCCGTCACATCAGTATAAATTTTAAATTATTGATATGATATGGCAGATTCAAAAATTTATGAATATAGTAGTAACAAATTTATGGATATCTTTTTAAACAATTTTGAAAGTGCCTCTAGGTAATAAAAATATATAGTTGAAAAAAGAAAAAAAAAACTTAAAAATAATAGTACTTTTTGTTGAACGGTAATTGATTTGACCTGATCAGAAGGGGATCACGGGCCGGCCACACTCTATTGGACTGCTGCGTGCTCACCGGTGCCGAGGAGAAAGAAGGGGGGTATACCTGCAAAACACTCTGATGTCAAAGTAAGGAATTGGGCAGAGCGAGAGCAAAGTATAGAAATTGGGCAAGAAGTGAATTACCTGACCCTCTTGAGGAAGAGGGTATTTATAAAGAGACCTCAGCGTTGGGCCAACGGTCACTTGCGTTGGGCTGGACTGCCAGGCCCAACCCAGGTGACTGCTAGGGCTTACGTGGCTTAGTGAAGACCAGGACGTGGTCTTCGCCCTAGTCCAACTGCTCCTTGATCTCCGGAAAGTGGGTTTGACCTGCTCTTTCGGAGGTGGGCAGTTGGTTGATGACGTGTCCTCGCGGAGGGGTGCACGTGAAGAACGTGCGCCGGGCACGTTGTTCTCCCCGCGGGGGGGAGCTCGCGAGGTTGGGGAGGAACCAAGGCCGCACTTTGATGCGTCGGGGTGTGTCCTGTTCGGCTGATAAGAGGGGACGTCGAGATGCTGTTGGACGCGCTGCTTGTGTCTGGTGGCGTGCTCTGCTCGTCCTGCGGGACGCGCGTGCCCGGCGTGGCCGATTCGCTTATTGGGTCGTACGTGGTATTGGGCCTGCCGAGGTCGGGCCCAGACCGGAACAGGAGCCCCCAAGTCGAAGCTCTGGGGAAAGAGCGAGGACTTAAGGTCGCTGTGTCGGGGAGAGAGGTAGCGAAACGGGAGGTTCGTCGGGATTCGTGTGTGGCGAAACGGGCGCTCGCGCGGGGATCCCCGGTCGTCGGCGGAGCGGGGTGAAAGCAGGTGAAGGGGCGCGACTGTCAGGTTGCCGCCACGTGTCGTACGTTAAGCGGTCGTAGGGGCGGCTACCCTATGTCATTAATGAGCCTAGCGTCGCTTCGAATCCCGCACCAGGTTATAAATACGGGGGTCCCCGCTCATTTTTCTACTTTTCACTCTGTTGTTTTACCTGCGAAGCTCTGAGATCTTTGCTCGTCCGCCGTTGCCGCCGATCGTCGCCGCACCGTTTGGTTCTTCCTCCCGTTCGCCGCCGTTACAAGTGAGTTCTCCTTTCTCTTCTCTTTTATTTTCGCCGCTTGATTAGAATGCGTGGTCGGGGCATGATGAATGCCCCGAGGAGGGACGCAAGATCCACCGTATCTGGTGATTTTCTGGTGAATGTCCCGGGGAGAATCGGTTGTTCCGATGAATGTCCCGAGGACGAGGGCTTTCTCCGATGA